AAAATATTTTTTTCTACCAATCGATAGCTTATGGAGTTCCCTAGAAATATTGTCTTGGGAGTTTTTGAATCTCATGCTTTCTTTATTTTCTGCAAACTTTCTACGAATGGGCCAAAAATGACCCAAGGGGGTGTAAAGGGTTAAGAGTAAGTAATGAGTACTGTAAGTATGACTTTGAGTACTCATGCTCGAGTATTGGTGAGTACGCATATAACTTTTGGCAAAACATTCATGAGTATTGTTGATCTAGTATTTTTGTATAACGAGTGACCTCAGGCAGCCAGAGTTGGACTTAGTGGCATAACCACAGGGGGAGCCAAAAAGTTTCTTAGCTCACCTAAAGATTTTCTTACGTTTATGAGAAAAACAGCGTTTTCTTTGAAAATTACAGTCCGATCATCTATGACTGTGTAGATTTCGAAGTAAGGCTAATCCTCCGGAAAAAGTTACACTACCTTCGATACGTTTTTGAATTTTTTTGGAGTTGAGCTCTTCCTGTGCAGAAATCCTGGTTACGTCACTAGTTGGACTACAAGTCTATTCACATGCGACTCCATCTCTGACTATATATAGGGAGACCAGCGAGAAAAAAATAATATAAATATTCTATGTTTCTTTAATAAATTCAACGTTCTTTATACAGTTTCACTTTTGCAAAACAAAATCGTGAATGAATATTTTCGCAGTACTCACTAAGTAAAAATACTCAAAAATTGTTAGTAGAATTCATGGACGAATTACGAGTAAAGTCGTACTCATAGTATGAGTACTTTCACTTAACAATTAAGTGAACATTATGTAGAACACATATCTTTACATTATATGGAAGATGCTGTTACAATACAATCGTTCCAGATGTAGATAATGAATAACTCTGTACATGACTAAGATCATCATATATAATAAACAATATTTATCTTCGAAAGAAAATGCTTTTCACTTATATGACTTTGAAACTACGGGAGTGAGCATTTTTGTTTTCATGAACGTGAAGTCCATAGAGTGCAAGAAAAAGATAAATCTTCTACGACGTGGAAAAGGAAATGTCTAATATCTGCGGGAGCATCATCTTCACAGTTCTTCGCCTCTGTCGTTCAAAGAAACTAAGTTATTCACTATGTATGATATAATTATTGACCTTTTTACACGTATCATGCTACTCCTATATATTTCACTCGTTGTGATTATCGATCCATAGAATTACTTAAAACTGTAAAACTTTCAAAACTTTAAGAGCTATGTCGAGTGCAGAAAATCGAATTAACTAATATTTACAATTAGATATTATCGTCCTTCTCTTTTGGATAAATGAGTTTCCCACTCTGCCAGTAGAAACGCGTTAAAACGCCACTGAAATTTTTCTAATAATAGATTCACAATGATTTTATTAGCGGTTTCCACTGTCAGAAAGATGTCAAAGGTCTGACTATCTTATGGGATCAGATAAAAAATACAGTTTGACCCTAATATTCCGTGACCATAAGAGATACCACGAGCTACTTTCAGTACATTACCTTGATAACAAAAAATGTTTGTGTATTTATTATCACACGTCTACTATATTCTGATTTATTTGTATATAAATATTTTTATCTAAACGTCTTCCATCCTCTAATTTGTTTCTTTCGTACTCGACGAACGATAATATTTTCTTAGAAGAATGAGAAAAAGAAGAAAGCGGCAGTGAACAACACAATGTATTACTTATCTTCTAACACTTTTGCATATAAATAGTTGATATTTGCAGGAAGATGAAATACATGCAAGAAAAAAGGAAAGAAGCATCTTAATGATTGTAACTCAACCTTGACCAATGCTAAAAGGCTGTCATGGTATAAGATAATTCATATGAAACATTCTGAAGTGGCAATATCATAATTTAAGAATGGGAACCATAGTAAGAATTTATTGCAAGATGATGACAAATGCGAGTCTGAAACAACTGCGTTAAAGAAAGAAAGCTTGATTAAATTGTCTAAATTCAACATGAGAAATGTAATTTTTCAATTTTATGGCAAGTCACATTAACAAAAAAAAGAGTTATCAGTAAGATTTTTCGTTTCACTAATTTTAGCCGATGTATGGGTAAATGAATTTTTAATGAAGTAGCAAAGTTATAAAAGTATTTATATTTGAGTTTAGCTTTATATGTCGACAATTTGGTTGTAATATCAGAACTTTCAAGGAGAAAATCAAGAGTCTAATTTCACTAATTCATCGAAACCATTTTCATCAAAAAATTAGAAAATTCATAACTCACGAGGGAACTATCCCATGTGATTAATCATTTTAAGTATAAATTACTCTTCTTATCTGAAATCGATGATGCTAATTATGAATATAAAGTCCCTTTAGAGTCAATTTCAGTTTCCAAGCCGGAATTTAAAAACGGTATCTGCAGAGATCCCAAAACTAAAGTTGATCAAAAAGCTTTTCTAACTTGACCATTTTGTAGCGTGCATCAAAATATCTCTAACCTATTGGACACTTTTCAATACTTTCAAATTAATCTTTCTCTCTCTATATATATAAAGAAGAATGTTTGTCTGTTCTTTATGCATTTGGTCCCTGTAAGAGCTAGCGTCATCAAACGTTCCATGACATACCCTTAGGTCCAGAGGAAGGTCGAGAAGGGGTCGGTGAGGGTGAGGGTGAACGTGGGGGTGAGAAACTCCTTACTTTTCTCATGGCCAACTTTACGTAGCGTATTCAAGAGCCGATGAAATCGAAGAAAATTTTTTGGTTAATCATAAATATATGTCCAATATGTTTAGATGATTAGCTATAGTACATACTTGGATATGACCTAACCTCTTCGTCGTTTTTTATGCCGGCACATGATGTATCCCATTTCTTCTGATGCGTGATATATCGTCATTGGAATTTTCGCATCACACTATACAATGACGCTATCAAAATGTTTTAGTGTGTGCCATACATATATATAGGTGTGTTTTTCTATTGTTTTTCTGTATCAGAGCCATATTCACTATAGTATTTCCCATCTTCCGACGATTCTACTAGTAAACGTACTCACGCACAAACCAGTAAGTGAGTGACATTCAACATACACTATAAAATTTACGGATTACTAAAGTATTTTCGATTGTGACTCCAAGTGCAAATTTCTAAGGTAACTTTGTTAAAAATACACCATTCTTAAAGAATATTTCTAACCTATCCTATTTACATTAGGAATACTGCAAAATGTCACCAAACCAAAAATCCTGGTGGGCAGAAGTACATCAGCTTCGTGGAGAATAGCAGCTTCCCGAGCAGCTGAGACTCCAGAACAGGGGCAGGTTCGACGCCAGGAAGATCGGGCAACGCATGCGGCCTCCAGAGTAGCTGAGACAGAGACGCAGTCGGGTCGATGATCAGCGTACAAGACAAGCAGCTGAGACTCCAGCACAGAGGCAGCTGCGACGCGAGGAAGATCAGAGAAGGCATGCGGCCTCCAGAGCAGCCGAGACTCCGGAGCCATAATTGATAGGAGACCATAACGATGTCTTTTCCTAATATGTCAAGTACGTAATATCAAATTTTCCCGAGCAACGCCGGGTACTTCAGCTAGTTTAAACTAATTTCGAGATTTGAACAAATTTGAAATGAAAGTCGCTCAGATTAATTTAAAAAACCCTTTTGCGTTCAAAATTAATTCGCATCGATTTAAATCTTTGAATAAATATAAAAACAAATCATAAAATTCAATTCAAAGCAATTTAAAAAAGGAAAAAAAACTGAAATTAATTTTTGGCATGACCGCATCACACAAAGTCTCATATTAATTTAAGTGAAACCGATTTCGAATTTCGAATTCGTTTAAATTAATTAGAAAACTTTAAAGTAATTTGAAACTTCAAGTTAATTTGAATTAATGCTTTTCAAAATTTTCTTTAACTCAGTTTAGTAATAAATCGATTTACACCAATCTGAAAGAAATTAATTTTAAATAATTTTTAATTTAAAATTAATCTGAATTAATACATAGTAAGCAGCAAAACAGCGGGCAGCTGGTTCTCAGTATCAATGTTCGTGTTTCAATTAATGAGAATATTAATGAGCAATGCACAGTGGGCATTTCTTCAGGCTTATCGTAGTTAATATCCTACCAGATTAATTTAATCGAATTTGTAATTATAGATTGGTTTAAATTGGTTTGGAAAAGCATTAATTAAAAAAAAAACTTAGAGAAGGCCTAATTCCATTGTTCGTACTAGTTTAAAGTATTCGAGTTGTACACCATACTGATGGATCTTTTAGAAAATGATCTCTTATCAAGATTCAAATTCCAAAAATCGTAAAAATCACGATATTGATCAACAACACCAAAAGACTAAAGGATCCGACTACGATAATGGACATAATAGTACGTTCAAAGTGTCTCAAGAGCCGCTGTGACTGAGTGATTAAGTTGTTCAGCACGTACCCCCAAGGTACTGTGTTCGAGCCTCGGCGCCACCAGACATGAAATGACCCTGGGCAAGTCATTAACGGCTGCTTGCCTCGGACCACCCGTCCGATAGCATGCTGACTACGTTGTGACATACGCCGGCCCTCGCGGCTAGTATGGGTATTCTTCTTCCTTCCTCAGCAACGGATAAATGCGTCAATAACTTCAACAAACATCGATGTTTTATCAGACGACGAGAGTCAAACGTCTTCATTACGGTCATCAGCTGTTTGGCAATATGCTACGAGAAGTACTGATCCAAATTATGCGAAATGTAATTTGTCTTCTGATAATAAGCGTATATCGACAAATAACGGATCAACATCAACTTTACGTCAACATTTAATCTTCAAACATAATAAAATTGAATTAATCATACCAATCGAGGAAAAGAAAAGTAGATCTACACTGTGCAGTCGTGATAAAAAATGACAACTAGATGATTTACTTATTAAATGTATCATTCGTGATGGACGTGTATTTAGTGATTTTGATAAACCAGGTATCAAAGAAGTCTTACAAAAAGCGTTTTCCGGTAAGATTAATGCGGACAGGAAATTAATGAATATTATATTAATTTTTGAAAATTTTCTTTTCATAGAGAAGAAATTCTTCGCATTGATTCGCAAATATAGGGATCATATTTGAGATTCGAGTATTTGTTAATAAGATAGACATTAAAAAAGAAAAGAGAAATCTTTTACAATTCTTAAAATTTCACAGTCCATAAGAAATTGCACTCAAAATAGAAATAAAGATGTGCCTTTGGAAATCAACGCGCTTTACAAATACTACAAAATTCCAAGCGAGAAATAGAAACAAAATGTTCTTTCTGTTTTCTAGATTTTGGATATGTAATATCCGTATATTGTTAAATTATTGACAGATATCTTGTATATCGACTTTTTGCTGAATATAGGCTATGCTCCTGTCAATCGACATATTGTCTCTCGCCGTCTGAAGCGCCTTCATGTATCTCATCGTAAGAAATTGATTGCTGATTTGAAATATGTCGATTACATGTCCATCACTACAGATTTTTGGTCGGATCGTCAAATACGATCATTTCTAGTAATTACTGGGCATTATTTCAAAGATGATGGTTTCAATTTAAAATCGACAATTTTGGATTTTTCTACATTTGATAAACGACATACATCACATGAAATATCGCGAATCTTGACGACAAAATTAAAAGAACTCAATATTTTACACAAAGGTATTCGTGTCACTTGTGATGGCGCGAGTAACATGGTGCGAGCTGTTGGTGATCTAAATTTAGAGTCAGGACGGCTGTGGTGTGTAGCACATCGTCTTCATCTGACTGTTACAAACGCTTCAGGATTTTGGATTAAGAAAAGCGGAGATGAAAATATCTGTATTGACGAAGCAGGTAATATTAAACTTTGAGCACTTGTTCTATCGAGCTCATGTCGAAATACGAAAGAAATACCGAAAGAAAAATAGAAAGAGTGGAGAAACAACGGAATTCTGACAATCTTGTTTCCTATTGATCGGGTCTTCTTTTTTTTGCAGTAGCGATAAAATTCTCTTTACCTTTCACGTTTTGGTTTTTCAAAATGTATTATGCAAAATGAGAGTACCTTTTTTTTCATACAGAAGAATATTCCTTTGAGTTTGTATATTTCGACGAGCTGAGTAAGAAAATGTGGCTTTTAATTTTATTAAGCTTTTTAAGCGGAAAAATTCAAAGGGTGTAAATATTCAAAAAACGAATCGAAAAAAATTCTCATAAAAATAAGTCTTTTAGGACATGTCTAGGGATCGTACATAGATCAGGATACTCATTTCAGTTGAAATCAAATTTTGCTAAAGCAAGATTTGAGGTACATATCATCGTAGAAATCTCGGGAAGATGTCGTTTTCATGAAAGATTTTACCTATTGATCAGGCAGGTTTTCAGAGTTTTGTTTTTGAAAGATTAACTGATTTCCAGAAAATGCTCTTAGTTCTCTGGGAATCTTGACACCATTTCTCTCCGATTCTACCATGATTTTTACCAATGTGTCTAAAGGTTTTTTGCTCTCTCATCAAAAATGAAAGTTTTCTTCGAAAAAGACCTGCCCGTTTTGAACCAAAACAGTCAAAATTTCAGTAGAAATAAAACAACTCATTAACAAAGCAAAATTTTAAAAAAAGTGATGCACAATTTTGAAGTTCGGACACTGGCGATTCGAATGAAAACGTTGACTTCAGCTCTTAACCCGAAAATCTAGACAGATTTGAAAATGGCCTATGAGTATTTTATAAAGTCGGATCCAGTGAGCCATAGTTGAATGACCTTTGAGATTAAAGTTGATTAAATATTTATAGACAGTGTTTGACACTCAATCAGAAAAAACAGTTCTGAAAACTTGAATGACCATTAAAGTAGAAAATTTAAAGTTTTTTGAAATTGAAGCGTTTTTCAAATATTTACACTATTTGATCTTTTCCCTTAAAAATTTCTTCCAAAAATTAAAAACCGTATTCTCTTACTAAGTAATAAGTAAAAGATCTTCGGTTTTATATAAGTTCTACGTATTTTCGAAAACCCTGATTTTCGTAGATTTTAAAAGTTTCCCTTGGAAAACCCGTTGAACATGTAAATTTTAGTAAATTCAACACATTCTAAAAGTAAACTGTATGGCTGTTACAATACAGTCATATCTCAATACCCAATTCTGAACGAAAACTTTTTTATTTGAGAACCGACGGTGCTTCAGTGGTCCATCGATAGTAATCGCTCTTATCAACTGAGGCAGAGACAGATTAGCAACGAACTTATTATGAATATTATTAAGTATATTACTTACGTTAAATTGTTTTCGGAGAAATAAATATTGCTCTTCCTGACGCTCGCAGATAATGGTTGGTTGTGTGCGACCTCCTGTCAATGCACGACGTAAACAACGTTGAGCAATAACACGAATATTTTTTATTATTTTTTTAAACCAGAAGTTGTATCTTTTTATGAATAGCAATTTGCATTTTTATCATTCGACGAGCAGCTGATTTTCCTGGTGTTTTTTGCACTCTGAGATTTCGTAGGTTGTTCCGAACAACCTACGAAATCTCAGAGTGCGGTGTCCCTGCTATGAGTAGTTGTCAACAAGTTGTTGACAACTACTCATAGCAGGGACACCGTTATGTAATGAATGATAATATAGAACGCCAATAGTTCTTGGTTAACGACGTAGTTTCACTGGATGACCTAAAAAGATAAGTGGATAGTTCAACGAAGTATCTCGTTCATATTTAGAGGAATTTTTTAAAACGAAGCGTTACAACAGGTGCCATCAAGACAAAGGGCAGACGAGTCCGAGTCTTCCTCAGAATTTTTCCGAAAACTAAGTGTCCTTCTGCACGATAGTGGCGACGATGATGAGTAATCAACAATTAAAGACTTTTTCTGTTCTCCATTCTTTATTTTTTTCTGCTTAGTTTTTCATTCGTCTCAAATTTTGATTACAACAACGATTTCGTTTCCATGATGAAAAACCATTTTTATCTATACTAAGTTCTAATGGCAAAAAATTTCCTATATCGATAAAACTCGTCTGATTCTCGTGTAACAAAAGTAGTAACGTCGCAGCAAATTATACTGGTCCGAGCATAATTCTTTCATTTCTCATCGCCGCTGTGGTAGCCTTTTTGGCTGCTTTATCTTTTGCTCAAATGTCGTCGATGGTACCAATATCGGGTTCATCGTATAGCTATGTTCATATGACAATGGATGAATTTTGCGCATGGTTAGTCGACTGGGATTTATCCTTAGAATACGCATGCGCTGCAGCTACCATCAGCATCAGTTGGTCAGCTTATGTCAAGTCATTTATTGAGATGATATTCCATATCAAAGCTGAACAACGAATTTTACTGGCACCAATCGGTTGGAATCAGACAACACAATTTGTGTTTTTAACCGATTCATATTGCAATTTAACGACCATAATTATTGCCTTAACATTGTCAGCGTTGTTACTGCATGGTCTTCGAGCAACTGCTATTATCAACAGTGTTATTGTTGTTTTTAAAATTGTTGTTCTTCTTGTTTTTACAGATCATATATAAAGGACTTCAGACACTTTATTGTTGCCACCAAAAATTTGTGGGTACGTTCGGACTATCATCTTTTACTGATTACCCGCTATATGTGCATCAATTAAATTTATTGATCCAAAGGATTATCGTCCATCTATTCCTCAATTTATTCGTCTAGAAAATGGCGGTTCAGAATATGGTGTCAATGGAATGTTTCGCAGAACGACGATCATTTTCTTTGCTTATATTGGATTTGATGCAATAACAACAGCACAGGAAACATCGAGAAACAGAAAAAAGTTGTACTTGCACCGAGTATTCTGATATCGTTAGTATCAACTATATTATATCTCGCGGTTGCCTCGGTATTGATCGGTGTCGTTCCCTATATGAATCTAAATATTCCGAGTCCAATATCCGTGGTTACTGACCATCCGTTAATATCCTCCGAATAAAACCCCCTCTTTTCGTCTTCTCCGCCCTGTACAATCTTGTTCACGAGTGGCTTTCAGAGACTCTTGCCCCTTGTGCACGATGATCTCTATGCAGTCGCAGCGCTTGATGCCGATGTTTTGATCCACGTTGTAGGTTCAAGTGAAATATTTTCTCCATGTTTAGTTAGAGAAATAAAATCATTGAACTTTGTAGGAAGATTCTGTAGAAAACGAAAGACTTTCTGAACCTACAACCCCTCTCTGACAATTGTGAAATTTGTTGACGAAAAAGATCATTTTATTCTATGCGACGAGAAATTCGTTTTTCCTTATTCACCTTTTTACCAACTAATAGACTTGTAAAAGCTAAACAAAATACGCCACACGATGCAGCGTGCAATGCTCTACAGTTCACATAGCACAATTCATTGAAATAAGAAAGAGGAATCACTCAAAAAATCATACAACATGAAATTCTGCATCAAATATTGTCAAAGTTCTTAAACGTAGTTTAAGTGTGATTCCACACTATCAAATGTTTTTGCACTCTAAAATAGTTCGAGTGACATTGTTACCAATGCGCGATTTTCGTGAAAATAAGCGGGTAAACGCTCAAAAAGCTTTTCTATCTCGATTATTGTCTAATTGCTTAAACGTAGTTTAATTGTCATTGCATACTGTCAAATGTGACTACACCGTAATATACTCTATTCGATGCAGAATTTCATGTTATATCGAACGACATTGTTTGCAATGCGCGTTTTTATTGAAAGTATGAGGGTAAACGCTGAAAAGCTTTGCTATCTCGATCATTCTCCAAGTACTTAAACGTGTTTTAATTGTCATTCATAGTGTCAAATGTTATTACACTCTAAAATAGTTGTTTTAGTAAAACTTTTGAACACATCAGCTTTTTAACCCAAGCAGAAAATCCTACATGAAAATATCTAGATATTTTATCGTTGTATTGGGCAATCCTACTATGAAATATCTAGGTATAGATGTCACTTTTATTGGGTTATCTAGATATATTGAGCATGGTATCTAGTTCATCCCGATATCATCTCAATATATTGGGATGCAAAAAAAGGCTGGTGTAGGGAGCTACAGCCCCCGATATATTGGTCTGTTACATCCCAATATATTGACTTATGTATCGATAGCATGGATGAAGGACGTTACATTCCTCAATTTATTGGTCTGTTATCGCCCAGTATATCGACTCATGTATTGACAGCATGAAGGATGCTGTCTACATTGCGCCCCGAGATGCCTGTATGCAGACATCCTGCTTTCTGTAATATATTGGTCTATTATTGCTCAATATATTGACTTGATATGAATAAAAACTTTGTAAATTTATAGAGTATATGTGTTACATATATAGGTGCTGTGGCTGCAAAACAGAAAGGTGAATCCGACCGTCGATATATCGAGCAATATATTGGGCAAGCCAGATATATTGGGTATGGTATTGGGTTATCTAGGTATATTGACTATTGTATTGGGATTACTTAGATAGGATTGCCCCATACTTGATACTTTTTATTCGCTTGGGAGATGCATAGGTCGATATATTGGGCGATAACAGACCAATATATTGAGGAATGTAACGTTCTTCATACATGCTCGATACATAAGTCAATATATTGGGATGTAACAGGCCAATATATTGAGAAATGTAGCTTCCATCCTTTATGCTGTCAATACACGGCTGAATATATTGGGGTGTAACAGACCGATATATCGGGGACTGTAGCTCCCTACACCAGCCTTTTTTTGCATCTCAATATATTGAGACGATATGGGGATGCACTAGATACCATCCCCAATATATCTAGATAACCCAATAAAAGTAGCACGTATACCTTGCTATTTTGTAGTAGGATTACCCAATATCACAACAAAATATCTAGATACTTCACAAGATTTCTTACTTGAACATGTGGTAAATCTAACATCCAGATATATGGGGTAAAATATAGGGTTATCTAGGTATATCGACTACTGTACAGGTGCTGACGAATTTAAGCTTGGTAATACCGAATCATAATCAAAGGTTTTCATATCAACACCCGTCGATGTTCCGTTGCAGTCTGTCCCCACTTCCAATTTTTCAGCGGCCACGAAATCGACGGTATAGCCATGTAGATGCCAAGGATGTTGTTGAGGATCTTCGTTAATCATTACTATTTCGTAAACTTGTCCAAATTCAAAGTATTCAATATAAGTTTCGTGTACATTCCCTACTCGACCCCGACGTGAGTCAGCTACAGCATATCGATCGGTACCATCGAGAAAATTAGCTTGTAGTAATGGTTCTTTTGCATGTTCAAATGTAATTCCGTTGACTTGCCATTCTTCAAGGGCATCACCTTGACTAGAGTTCCATACAACTGAGAAAAAGAGTTTAACACGTTTGACTGCCGGCGGAGCTAGTTTAGGTTGCAGAGGTTTCAGGAATTTGTATTCAAAGAAAGTGTCATCAGCTGGCAGTAGAGGTAATGGCTTCACGGTTGAATTATCGCTGTCATTTGATTGCGGATAGGTGAGAAGAGCTGTTGCCCACATTGTCGGTGTGGGACCGGTGATTATGTGTGGTGGATGAAAACTATTTCGACTAGCCACGTACATTTTATATTTTGTCAAAGGGTCTTTATTGCATTCAACAATCAGATCGAGACGTTGTCCTATTGGATAGTCAGTCGTGGCACAATTATAGGTAAGATGGGAACACTGTCACGAGCAACAATGGTTATATTATGCTCTTCAATCCAAAATCGAAATGGAATACCACTAGCTGCATTTATTAATCTCAATCTCATCTGACTTGCATCACAGAGAAACTCATCTTCTACATGAAGATGAGGGTTACATAAGCCAAAAAATGGCTCTCTTAGCGGTATACATTGAGCGCGCTCACGGTGCCCACATGCGTTCAAAAACGATGAATATTCAGTACAATTTATTGTTCGACAATCAAACTGACCGTGGCCATTTATTAAAAACGATGTTGGCGGCCAGGGATACACGGGAATACTGCCCGGAAAAGCATCATAGGGTCCTTGATATGCAGTCATAATGTCAGCCCATGACTCGTGATACCATTCTTGAAGCATAATCACATGATCACTCATTCCGTATGAATAGTTCTTCTCAATTTCGTCATCATCAAATATCATCGGTCCTATAAGACCATCAGCATATTGTTGACCCTGATGTGAATGATACCAGAATGTGCCTGTATGAGTGACATTAAATGTGTAACTAAACGTTTCAGATGGATGAATTGGACATTGAATTACGAGCTCCGTACCATCCATCCATAAATTATTCAGCATGTGAAGACCGTGAAAGTGAATTGATGTTGATTGCTCTTTCATGTGATTTGTGATGCGTCTTTGAAGAGTATCACCGAGGCTTGCCCGTATCAAAGGGCCGGGAAATGGTCGATTAGGATTCCAGGTATCATTAGCATTGTAGATTGTGATAACACCACGAGGGTAACCGTCTGGATTACCGGGGATTGTCTTAATAATAAAATCATATTTGATCAGAGTTGATTCACTTGACAAAATTGCTGCTGCTGAAATAATAATGAGAATAAGAAACTCCATTCGACTAAGGTATTTTTTGGCTTAATTCAAACATTGGAGCATTTTATAACCCTAATAATTTCCTTATCACAATCGCAATCATCATCAAAAAATAGTTATATTCAAATACTTCAATTTTTTAAAGTTTCTAGTTATTTATAACATGAATGTGGGCTATTTGAAGAAACTTTTATCTCTGCGACTTGATATTCGGTAGTGACTCATAGAATAACTTATCAAGATTTTTATCGTTATTGACACAGTAAAAGTATTGACAAAAATAAAACACTTCCGCAACTTTGCTGGTCTACTACAAATTTCTTCACCGTAATAGTGACGCGAAAGAAAAAAAGTTCTGATCGCTCAACGCTGTTACACAGTGAGTGTATTGATGCAAACTCTCTTTTCGAACAATGAGAGGGAAAAATTTGAATTTTTAGTATTCTTTAACGTCGAGTACGGCAAATATAACTGACTGACGACCATGAGAATAAGAACAACAATGCCAAGGTGAATGAAATCACCATTACAACATTTTTTTTTTATAGTGGTAAACTATTTTTGATCTCTTGTTTAGTCATGTCACATGGTAAAGATCTCTAAAATAGTCTGTTCGATGCAGAATTCCATTGTCTATCGAATGAACCTATTTTCAATTTCTGTTGTATTTGGAGGAATCTTGAGAAACGCTCAAAATCTTCCTGTTTATCAATCATTGCGAACACGCTTTAAAGTATTTTTGGTCTGCTGTTTAGTCATGTCACATGGTAAAAGTCTCGGAAATAGTCTGTTCGATGCAGATTTCCATTGTCTATCGAATGAAGCTATTCCGAGTAGCTCTTATATCTGAAAACATCTAGAGAAAAGCTCAAAGTCTTTATATTTATCGCTCATGGCGAACAGGCTTTAAAGTATTTTTGATCTCCTGTTTAGTCATGTCACATGGCAAAAATCTCTTAAATAGTCTGCTCGATGCAGAAGTCCATTGTCTATCGAATCAAGCTATCTTTAGTATCTGTTATGTTTGAAGGAATCTTGAGAAAAGCTGAAAACCTTACTATTTACCGATCACATTGAACCGGCTTTAAAGTATTTTTGATCTGCTGTTTAGTCATGTCACATGGTAAAAGTCTCGGAAATAGTTTGTTCGATGCAGAACTTCATTGTCTATCGAATGAAGCTATTTTCAATATCTGTTTTGTTTGAAGAAATCCAGAGAAAAGCCCAAAATCTTTTTATTTACTGCTCATAGCGAACAGGCTTTAAAGTATTTTTGATCTCCTGTTGAGTCATGTCACATGGTAAAGATCTCTAAAATACTCTGTTCGATGCAGAATTTCATTGTCTGACGAACGCAGCTATTTTGAATATCTCTTATATCTGAAAAAATCTAGAGAAAAGCTCAAAATCCTGTTATTTATCGCTCATTGTGAACAGGCGTTAAAGTATTTTTCATCTCGTGTTTACTCATGTCACACGGCAAAAATCCCCAAAATAGTCTGCTTGATATTTATCAATCATTGTGAACAGACTATAAACTATTTTTGATATCCTGTATGGTCATGTCACATGGCAAAAGTCTCGGAAATAGTCTGTTCGATGCAGAATTCCACTGTCTATCGAAAGAAGTTATTTTCAGTATCTGTTATGTTTGAACAAATCTAGAGAAATTATATTCAGAGAAATTCTCCTGGGAGGAGAGAAACTCCTACTAGCTAAGAGTGAAATTCTCGTGAAAGCACAGAAATTCCCCTGGGAGTAGAGAAATTTCTGCCGGTTAACAGAGAAATTCTCGTCCAAGGACATGCATCCCTGCCGGCTAACAAACAAAATTTCTGATAGCTAAGAGAGAAATTCTACTGAAAGGACAGGAATTCCTGCGAAAGGAGAGAAATTCCTGCTGGCTGAGAGAGAAATTCTCGTGACAGGAGAGAAATTCTCCTGTAAGGATACATATTTCTGCCGGCTAGGATAGAAATTCTTGCTGGCCAAGAAAGAAGTTCTCGTGGCAGGGGAGAAATTGCTGCTGGCTGAGAGAGAAATTCTCGTGGAAGGACAGCAATTCGTGCCGGCTAAGAAAGAAATTCTCGTGTAAAGATATATATTTCTGCTGGCTAAGAGAGAAATTCTGGTGAAAGGATAGAAATTCTCGTGGGAGGAGAGATATTCTCGTGTAAGGATACATTTTACTGCCGGCGGTAAAATGTATCCTTACACGAGAATATCTCTCCTCCCACGAGAATTTCTCTTCTTCCACGAGAATTTCTCTCTCAGCCAGCAGCAATTTCTCCCCTGCCACGAGAACTTCTTTCTTGGCCAGCAAGAATTTCTATCCTAGCCGGCAGAAATATGTATCCTTACACGAGAATTTCTCTCCTGTCACGAGAATTTCTCTCTCAGCCAGCAGGAATTTCTCTCCTTCCGCAGGAATTCCTGTCCTTTCAGTAGAATTTCTCTCTTAGCCATCAGGAATTTTGTCTGTTAGCCGGCAGGGATGCATGTCCTTGGACGAGAATTTCTCTGTTAACCGGCAGAAATTTCTCTACTCCCAGGGGAATTTCTGTGCTTTCACGAGAATTTCACTCTTAGCCAGTAGGAGTTTCTCTCCTCCCACGAGAATTTCTCTTTAACACGAAGATATCGAGAATGGCAGCCGGAATTTCTCCTTTAGTTTGTAGGAATTTCTGTCCTGCTGCGAGAAATTCTGTTTTGCCAGAGAACTTCGGGACTTTCAAGGAGAATTTCTTCTTTCGATAGCTGGAATGTCTCGTCTGTCACAAGAATTTCTCTGTAGTGACTGTTACGGTGTAAACGTGTATTTCAGGTTTTATTTCTTGACGAAAAAGTTTCTGACATGCATTTGAAGAAAGTATAATTCAGAATAACAGATTAGTATCGTAAGGTGTTAAAGAAAAGTGTATTATTGTCTGAAAAAGATTGTTCTTATCTTGAAGGGATAGAGCATGAAAAAGAAAATGAAGACTGTCTTTCTACACACTGCTAAAGTAATGAGTAATGCCCAAAGAATAAAATAATACGAAGTTAGAACGTGAGAAATTGAGTTTAGTTATTAGTCTATGGGAAAATCTATCTAAAAATACGACCTGAAAGTGGGATCCGGCATGAATGTTTGAAAGATTAGGTCACCAAGGCTGGAACAAAAAAAATATTTTTGAACGCTCATGAGTGGGTTGAAACCGTCAGACTATGCTTCATCGAGGGCAGTAATGCGAGGTAACTGCTTATGAGAAACGGACATTCGTAAGTGAATAAACTACGATACGAAGAAAATTAACGAGTTAATAGGTCAGTTGACATTGTTGTTATGGTATTAAATGCTATTAATGCTAATCGCTTGTAACGTATGGGTGACTAATATTGGTTCGTGCTTATGAATTTAATAACTGTACACATGTTTGTCCGTTCATCTAAAAACAGCTAAA